TGCCTTTCTTTTCTCGTCTTTATATTTTATGAATTATTGTAGAATTCATGACTTGAATCAATAAAATAGACTCATATGCATGATTTCAAACATAAAATAAGGTATAATTAATATGCAAAGCAGCAGTTCAGAGACTCATATTATGATAATCGTTCTTTTCTTTAATGGATGTGGCAGCATTGCTGCATTATCTATGGCGATACTAGGTAATTTTGTTTGATTGAGAAGCTTCATAGGCGTGTCTGATGATAAAAATGGAAGGAAATGCAGGTGCTAAAGATAATTTTGTTGATATCGAGAAGCTTTAGGTTAATGTTCTCTGCCTTGATGATTCTATTAGCAACACATCTATAAGAACTCCAATATTAATATAATTTATGATTCCACTTCTTGACTAACCCTCACCTAGGTTGTGGTTTTGCACAAGTATATGAATTTTTCGGCTATCGCTCTTGCGGTTTTGAAACTTTATTTGGTTTGCATCATTAGTTGCCCTCGCTCAATCTAGCTCGAGTGCTTCCGAGTCTTCAAGAAAGAGCTGCAGGTGCCCTTTGGGGATTGTCGGTATCAGAAACTAACAGGTATTTGAGGAAACTTCTTGACCGTATTGTTTAATGTTTCAACTTACGTGAAATATTTGCTGAACAAGTTCTTAGGTGAAGTTCCCCTTTGCTTGGTGATGTATACTTGTAAAAAGATCTTTTCTTGTAAACCAAATGCGAGTAACTAGACCTTGTTCATGCTATTAGTTTAGAGTTTGAAGGATTTACATGTGTAAACCTTAAAACTCTAGACGTAATTCATCTCAGAGTTCCGTGTCTTGACAAAATGTTTGATCTACGATTATTAGGCCTCAGTTTATGTCAAACTGAAGAAGCAATCTCTTCTTTTTGATTTTTTTTGGGTTATAGATAGCCTTTTCAATATACATTATAGCAGTGTATATTAATTTTTTGAAGGATATCTTAGCAATTTATGATTCTAATTGCTGTATTTTGTTAATGCAGTATTGCTATCGGAAGACAAGGTGGTATTGCTCCACTATGTCTTAGCACGTTCAGATATTGAAGTAAGCTTCTCACTCTTTGCTTGCTTAGATTATTCATTATTTTCAAAATTAGTTTAAGATTTTCTAGCATTAACTGTGGTTTTATGAATATTCTCTATGTTCTGTTAGTACAATTGCTTTTGGCCTGATTACCGAGAATTTAAAGTTGATGTAAATTGACAGGTTAGATTAAGTTAGGCTTTGGCCAATAAGGGGTATTTAGGTAATTAACTTCAGTGTTTATCCTTAAGAGTTTGGCCAATAAGGGGTATTGTACAATACCAAGGATTATGGACCCTATAAATATGTAATGTCCTATGACTATTTTCTCAAACAATCAAATATACAAAAGCCTTTTGGCAATTGTTTGGACGTTGATCCCTCGAAATGATCAATCTTACTTTTTAGTTTTCCGAATTCCCTTTCGATAGAACCCTAGGCTCTTATCAATATTCTAACCATAAACTAAGGTTTCGTATGATTGGTTTCAGGATGTCCACGAGACTGCTGCTGGAGCACTCTGGAATTTGGCCTTTTATCGTGAAAATGCTCTCCATATAGTACAAGATGGTGGAGTTAAACCTCTCATTCATCTATGCTCTTCATCAATATCAAAAATGGCTCGTTTTATGGCTGCATTAGCCTTAGTTTACATATTCGATGGAAGGTATGTCAAACTACTTTTTGCTAGTTGGCAATTTGGATTCCTAGTTTCAATGATGGGAGCCTCAAATATATAGATAAAAGATCTATTTTCTGCAAGTTCTCATGGATGGACAACCAGACAGCGTCTAAATGAAGCAAAATAATATTTAAGCTTTGCTAAAAAGTGTATTGACTGGTAGGAGAATGCTTCAAAAATTTACTTTTGAGATCTAATTTTTGGCATAACTATTTACAGGATAGACGCATCTGGAAGTTCAAAGACTCTGAACACGGATGGGGTTGGGAGGATCGCCTTAAAGCATGTTGAAGGCTTTGTAAACTCATTCTACGATCCACAATCCTTTCATACTGCAGCTTCATCATTGGTCCCCACTGCTTTGGCACAGATAGATAGCAGAAGCCATAAGAATACAAGAAGCAGGACATCTAAGATGCAGTTTTAATGTTTTGGCCTTAGCATTTGGCATGCAACTGGTAAATTTGAACGAGTTTGTGGTAGTAAATTACATATTGTATTAATCTATTTACTACCATATAGTAAATTACTTATTGTAGACAACATGATATTTACATGCACTGGTCACTACCCATGGCCTCTGTCATCACATTCATCTCTCCCTTTTTTTCTCTCTCTCAATAGTCAACTAGATCCAACCCCATAGGAAGAGCAGTGGATCTCACTAGGAAATTGCTGAAGGGAGGCTAGCCTATGGACTTTATAAATTACCCTAAGATGTTAGACTTTCTTGATGTGAGACTTATGTTGCCCATTGTGCATTCTTGAAACACCAATATTTGTACCAGTAACTAATAAGACCAAACTGGACTTTGTTGTAAAAGTTAATGCTTGCACTTGATTAGTAAGTGACTCAAACACCATTCCGGCCTTTCTGTAGGTGAGATCAACTGTTTTGAACGTTGTTCTGTCATTTTTGTATGAAATTCAGTATGTCTACTCAGAACATTTGTAGGAAATGCCTTTACAAGTCTGTTTGTAGGAAATCAAATCAGGCTTTAAATTATTGGCTTGAGAAAACAAATTAATGGGTAAAAGTATATGACGATGAAAATGCTGCCAATCTTACACCAAGGTTGTATTGATCCTCCTCAATGGCATGCTGCAGTATGCCTGCAAATACCAAAGAACACTTTGAGGAGTTCCTGTCATCATTAATATCTGATCGAGCAATCGGTTTTGCTTTTCTTGTTTGCTTCATTATGGTGGTAATATAGATTATCCAAATATTGGGGTCATTTCCGGTTTAATAAATTCGGATTATTAAATTTCTTAATCAAATTGAATTTATAAAGAAATTTATGAAAAATGGGTTCAATAACCTCGGAAAAGAAATAAAAAAACTACACTACACAAAGAATATTTAACTTATTTTTTCATTTTAAAAAAAATCATTTTCTAATTTTACAACTAAACAGTTTTTTCCAATGCTTTCTATTTTCCAAGAAAATGAAAATAAAAATAGTCAATATTTTATAAAACCAAACGGACCCCTTTTCTACTTTTAATCAACATAAAATAAAATGTTTATTAATTTCAATCAATTATTTCCTACTTTCTCTATTTTTTTTAAGTTTACATCTTCATTAATAGTTAGATCAAATTCAGGATGAATCTAGAGCGCACATCGCACACCGAAACAACCACTAATATGACATACCGACGCACACCACTAATTAAATTATTCTTATTAAATAAATATGAAAAAAATATAATGACCTTTATTATTATTTAATGTAAATTTTAGTAGGAATATAATTAAATTATATGTTTTATAATTATTTTAGAAAATTTTCTTTATTTAGGATTGGAGCACTTAACTTATTTAAGTTTGCAAAATCTTTCCAGTAGTAACCATAAAAAACAATCGTTGACAACTCTATCTAACGCTAAAAAATTATGTTATTCGACATATATTGTTGCCGCCAAGAGGAAACTGGGATAAATAGGAAGGGAGAGATTGATTGTGCATGCTTAACGGATGGTGTAACACACCGAAAAATCCCCAATTTAAAACCCTAGTAATTGAGAATTTTTGACCTAAAATTCATAAATTGAAACAAGTGACCAAACTGTAAATTGGTAGAGATTGAAGTCGTAGTTGCAAAGCCCTAAAAAAATATTACTTACCTTCAAATTAGCGTAATTCTATTTGATATCAAACTCTCCTCTTCCCCGTTTATAACTCTGCGCAACCCTCCCCTTTTATTTTTAAAACCATAGCAGCAGAACCTCAAAAAAAAAACTAGCAGCAGAACCTCAAAAAAACCCTAGCAACAGAACCTCAAAAAAACCCTAGCAGCAATCCCATCTCCCTTTAAACCGTCGCCGCTCACTCCTTCATTGCCCTTCACGCCATCTGACCGGGTCAGGTAAGCTCGTCGATCGTCTCCTTTAACTGCGTTCCTGCTATCGTCGACCTGAAGTCGCGTCCGCTCGAAACCAGTGAGCTCGCGAATGTGCCGTCATCGCGGCTTGATTTGACCGTCCGTGGTCATGGCGTGGCCGGAAGTGACGTGGGGAAAGTTTATCTGGTCGGAAATTCAGTGGGCAGACCCTCGTCAGCCTTATTTTCTTTATATACTTTCACCGTTTGGCAGCTAAAAGGCCTTGGTGGCCGGCCGTTTAAGGCCATAGTGAGCATGGTCGTGAGTTCGCCATCCCTTAGGGCTGCTGTCGGTACACCCTCATCGCCGATAGTCTCACTTTTCTGTACTGGCAGCATCCGTAATCGAGCCAAATTCAACTGTCGATTCACCGATTCGAACCAGAAAAAAATATTTCCGTCACCTTAAAAATTATTATTTAAGTTCTGAAATTCGTCATTGGAATATGAAATTATGCATCGTGATTTTCGCAAGAAGTTCTGATCCGGGAATCGAGTTACCACCTAGCGACTCTGTTAAGTGTACCTAGCGACTCTCGTTTGCTGAAATATAAGTTGTAGGACTCGTCAGTCCCTTCTGAGATTCGAAAATTGCTAAACGACTCGTGGAAAATACTATTTAAATAGAATTGGAGTTTGTTAAAAAAAAGTGCAACATTCATCAAATTAGGCCAAGTATACTTCCAATACAGGAGAGCGATGTACAAATTAACAAATATACCTCAACATCTGTGACAACAGTTCCATCAAAGAGAATGGCATGAATTATTCTCATAACCTAAAAAGCAAACAAAAACAATACAAACCATGTTCCTTGAAAGAATAACCCTTGAAATTTATGAAAAATGGGTTCAATAACCTCGGAAAAAGAAATTAAAAAACTACACTACACAAAGTAGCTAACTTCTCATGTCCGATCTTTGATTTTCTTCAGGAGAATAATCATCAGAACTAATGTCAACAAACTTGATAGTGCCATATTGCTTATTCCTCTCCCTTAGCATGTCAACCTAACAACGAAATAAATGTTAAATCGAGTGAAAAAATAAAATAAAAAGAATAAACCCACCACATATTATCATAGTATTAAATTTGTTGCTAGTTAAACGGCAGCATCGTAACGATTTTCAAGGTTACCGCGACTGTACCACCATAACCGCAATGATGATCGCAATAGCAATTTAGTACTATGAATATGATCATCATAAGCAAAACATACACAAGATATATTTGCAGTATGATATACCTCACGCATGCAAAGCGGACAATCCCCCTCATAAAACATTTTAATCTTCCAATTTTGTTGGGATTTTTGTTCATCATCTTCTTTTCGTTTCTGGGAAGTTATAGTATCTGCAGTTGCCTCTTGTATCGCCCGAATCTGATTCTTAAATCCTGGAAAGAAAATGTACAGAAGTTTATAAAAAAAATCCCAAACTCTTTTAAGAATATGTTAACGAAAACGCATGAAAATTAACATGCATACATACATGTAGCAAACCATGAATGAAACACCAAAAAAGATGAAGCATCAAAATGAAGGGAAGACATACCAGTTTTGTAGTTAGGAATAGTTGAAAACCTTTGGAGAGGAGGGGAGGCGAAATGATGGGATCGTAGCTTAGAAAATGGAGAAGATGAAAGGTAGATGAAAATGAAGGTTTCAAAATCGTTTATTTGCAAACCTTTGGAGAGGAGGGGAGGCGAAATGAAGGTAGATGCGGCGCACAAAGAGGAGAACTGGCTAAGTGAAAACAAAACGCGTGAAAGGCCAGGGTTTTTGTGATCTCCTAAAAGTTTTGGTCTAATTAATATACTGGTCCTTGTATTCTCACGTACTTTCATATGTTGTCCCTTGTTTTCCTTTCTTTCAATTTGGTCACTGAATGTTTCTTTACTATTTCTGATCGTGGCTCACTGTTTTGTTTTAGTACAATTTAGTCATCATTTTATGCTATTATGTTTTATTTTTAATTAACTATTGTCTTTTTATTTTATTACATTTTAATCTCTTGGTACTTTTTATTTGCATTTAATTTTGTTGGATAATTTATATTCCTTTCAATGTAGTCATAGAATCTTAATTTTAGATCAAATCCTTAGGTTTAGATTTCTTTTAAATAAATGCCTACTAGAGTAATTAGACATAATATAAAAGAAAAAACTCGTTTTTTTATTTTTTGCCTTCACGATGAAAGAAGAAATATAAAGTTGGAATAATGGACTGAAACGATTAAATTGAGGGTTTTAAAAAAGTATTTATAAAATAAATACAAATAAATTTCTTTAAAAACCAGTTTCCCTTTAAAAACTAATTTCCGTTAAAATCAAATAGAGAGAAATTTCCCTCCTAAATAAAACCTAGGTACCCGTATTTTCGAGTCATCGATACCTGATTAATATTTATTTAATTTATATTAATTTTCAAAAAAAAAATACGTAAGGCTCTTGTACATTTTCAAAAAAAAATCAATTTGGCCATCAAATTATTGTTGCATTCAATGCGACCCTCAAACTTAGAAAAAAAAACAATTAACGCGACCCTTTAACCAACAACTTCTATCATTAACCATTATGAAACTATATAATAAAAAATATTAAAAATAGTTATACAACTAAGAAGAGTATTGTAGTGAATATAACATGATATACGGAAGTAAACTTTACCTAAACTTAATGTAAAAAATTTAATAGCAAATTTACCCAACTATGGTTAATACATATTGTTCAAGACTTACACGGACCGCCTTACCTGAGGGCTTAAATTAGCTTGTTCATTCTCAATTCAATATATATATTGTTCAATTTTTTAACAATTTAATTTTCATTTTTACTATTTTTCATATTTAGTTTTTGTGTATTTTAGATTTTAAATTTAAAATAATAATTTTTTAATAAATAAACAAGCCCCTGAACTTTTTGATAATATATTTTTGTTGTTATATTTTATTTGAAAATGCCATTTAATTATACATATATATATATTATCAGAAAAAAATAATTTTTTTGAACATTTTGTTTTTTATAATATTAATTATATTTTATCATTATAATTAAATATATAGCTGCAAACATAATTTTTTTTACAAAAAACTTAAATTTTTATTCATTTAAAAAAATGAAAAAAAATTGTGATAATTTTTTTATAACAATAATTATTACATATAGTTACAAAACTTGTCATTATATAACATTTTGCACCAAAAAATAGGGAGAAATATTTCTAATAGTATAAGTTTTCATAATGATTAAAATATATAATACAAAAATAATTAATTACAAAAAACTTATATTTTATTAATTACAATATATTTTGTTACTATATAACTTTTTTGACACTAAAAATAAAGAGAAATGGTTCTGATAGTATAATTTTTTATAATGATTAAAATATATAAGTATAAAAATAATTAATTACAAAAAACTTGAATTTTAATTATTTGATGTGATAATTTTTCCTATAACAATAATTATAAATTATAATTATAAAATTTGTCAATATAACTTTTGAAACAAAAAAGTGTAGAAAAATAATTATGACAATATATGCTATCACAATAACTAAAATTTACAACTACAAATATAATTTGTCACAAAAACGTGAATATCATTATTTTGTGGTAATATTTTTTTATAATAATTATTAACACTTATTTTTGTGGCTTGATTTGGGGCTCCCCTCCTCGACTAATCCCATCACTCTAGTTAAATGGGAAGACCTCTGTCAACCTCTCCATATAGGCGGTTTGGGCCTTCGTTGAATAAATTTTCAGAACATTGCTCTCCTCTTCAAAATTTGCAATGATCTCATTCTCTCCCCCTCAGTTTTCTGGATCTTCCTCATGCGAGAGAAATATAAGATCACTGAACTATGCCCTTTTTTGATCTACCGTTCCACTTGATATACCGTTCCACTTGTTCTAATCTTTGGCGTAGTTTGGCAAACGTATAGCGTTCTTTCTACACCATTTTGGCTTGGTCAGTGGGTGACAGGTACTCTATTAATTTCTTGATTGATAATTGGGTTCCCCCGATTGGCTCACTCCTCAACGTTGCAATGACTAACTTTTCGATGGATGTTTCCTTAATTGTCTCTGATGTGTCTTCAGATGGTTGCTGGGATTGGGATCTTTTGAACACACTCTTGGACCCGATAGCTATTCATCATATGAGAAATATTATTGCTCCATCTTTTGCGGTTGGTTAGGATATTGTTTATTGGTCGGTTTCACCAAAGAGGATTTTCACTGTTTCAAGCCCTTATAAATCCTTATGCTCCTCTTCCTGGGCCGCTACGAATCCTTGTTAGTATGTAATTTGGAATGAATTAGGAGTTTTCTATGGCTCGCCATCAGAAATAGAGTGCTCACCAACTCTAACCGATACCGAAGAGGTCTGGGAAATGATTTCTTTTGGTGTTTGTGTCGAATCGAGAATGAAACTTTACACCATATCTTTCGAGATTGCATCACAGCTCGGAGCAATTGGCGGAGACTCTTCCAAGCTCACCCCTTTCCATCTTTCTTTGATTTCGATCGTGAAGCTTGGCTTATGGAAAATATTAGTTATTCTTCCCACTGTGCCGCATCCAATGGCCCTTGGTGCATTCTTTTTGCCTCCTTGGTATGGCAGCTTTGGAAGGCTCAAAATCTTCTCATTTTTCAAGATGTCTCTCATTGTCCGGAAGCTATACTTCAAGTCAGCATATCCTGGAGCAAACTTTACGATGACTGTGCACCTATTCGAAGTTCACACAGACTGCAAACCTCTTCACATGTTCAATGGTGCCCGCCGGATTTGGGGTAGGTCGCTCTTAATAATGATGGGGCTGTGTCGCCTCAAACTGGTTCAAGTTCGATTGGGGGTTCGATGACCTTCCCTCAAATGTAACTGTCGAAGTCGGATGTATTGGCTCCCATTCAAAAAAGAAAAAAAGAATAATAATATGTGGTCTCATACCCTTTCATGTGAACCTTCATTTCTTTTCACTTTAATTTCGGTATGATGTATAATAGTTATTACTATTATTATTTATATTTAAAAATAATAATATCCTTTAATTAACTACTGAATTAATTGTGTCATATGTCCCCAAAATATTATTCTTATTTTAAATTGGTTCCTAAACTTTTAAATATTTTAATCCATCCTTAAACTATGACTCCAATCTAAATTAGTCCTTAAACTTTTGAATATTTTAATTTCATTACTACACTATGACCCCCTTTTTAAATCAGTCCCTAAACTTTTGAATATTCAAATTTCATCCCTAAATCCATACATATATGTGATTATTTTCAACCACAATTTAATCTAAATTTTTTAACATATAATAATATAACTTGGCCTAACGATTTTACTAACAAAGGACATGATTAGTGTATATATATATAGTTTTAGATGAAATTGGAATGTTCAAAGAGTTTGGGGACCAATTTAGAATGAAGGTCATAGTTTGGGATGAAAATGAAATGTTTAAAAATTTAAGAACTAATTTAAAATGATAATCATAATTTAGAGGTGAAATTAAAACGTTTAAAAATTTAGAGATTAATTTAAAATAAGAATCATGCTTTGAAGACATATGATGCAATTAATTCTTTTTCAATCTATTGATTATAGTTTTAATTTATGAGTATCTATAATTGTAGGATTAACAATATTGTATAATAAATGCAACTTTGCTGGCATCCATTTGTCAGATATATAAAAAGTTAGGGTAAATTACATACAAGGTCACTTAATTACATACAAATTATAGATATATCACTCAATTAAAATATTATTACAAATAAGTCAGCTCATCGTTAAATATTAGATAGAATAGTGACATATAATAATAATTAATACTTCAAATTTATATATATTTTATTAATTTAGTCCTATTATAAAATAATAAAATATATTTAACCTTTCATATTAAAAATCTTATGATTTTAGTATTTGTTCTTTTAAATTGTTTGTTATTCTCTTTGAAATATTATATGATTATTTTTTCCTTAATTTCATAATATACTAATATTTTAACAATCTTCCTCTCCTTGCTACGCATGCAACGGTCCTTATCTGCCTTAACAGCAGGTGCATCCCATGCTGGTTCCCATGCTCTTTGCTGTTGGTGACCATGCTTTCACCGTACCTGTCAGCAAGTTTCTCACAAGCAAATTAGAAAAGAGTAGAACAAAGAGAAACAAGAGGAAGAAAAAAAGATTTTTCATTTAATGATTTTTTTTAAGGATCAATTAAAGATATTTTAAAAGTATACTCTTTTGGACTTGTGCTTAAATATAATAGCACTAGATAGCACTTCAATTAAACTCATTTACAGCCCTAGTAGCAAACCATGAATGAAACACCAAAAAAGATGATGAAGCATCAAAATGAATGGCAGACATACCAGTTTTGTAGTTAGGAATAGTTGAAAACCTTTGGAGAGGAGGAGAGGCGAAATGATGGGATCGTAGCATAGAAAATGGAGAAGATGAAAGGTAGATGAAAATGAAGGTTTCAAATTCATTTATTTGCAAACAGGGGAGGCGAAATGAAGGTAGATGCGGCGTACAAAGAAGAGAACTGGCCAAGTGAAAACAAAACGTGTGAAAGGCTAGGGTTTTTGTGTTCTCCTAAAAGTTTTGGTCTAATTAATATACTGGTCCTTGTATTCTCACGTATTTTCATATGTTGTCCCTTGTTTTCCTTTCTTTCAATTTGGTCACTGAATGTTTCTTTACTATTTCTGATCGTGGCTCACTGTTTTGTTTTAGTACAATTTAGTCATCATTTTATGCTATTATGTTTTATTTTTAATTAACTATTGCCTTTTTATTTTATTACATTTTAATCTC